ACAATTATGCAGAAGCCAGGCAGTTAATGAATCTCTTCACTCTAAAAACAAAAGAAAGAGACATCAGAAAATATGGTAAACCACACTTAAATTTTGTTCTCAGCAATTTGAATTCACTGTCCTCTCATTTTAAGCAATATTTTAAAAACAGATGAACAACTGTACAGAAATTTTTTTTCTCGGTTAATGGTTTTTTTTTTCAGCTTTTGCCTCCCCTCCCCTCCCCATGAACTATTTCCTTGATTACCTTTTGAGCACCTGATCAGGTGAGCCAAGGCTTTCAACATTTTGCTATTAATGCAGTGTGCTTTGCATTTTAATGATGAGCTCTTCAGAAGCAATTAACTACAAGTGATCTTCTAAAAACTGGTTGGGGTCCCCAGTCATCCCCGTTTTCAGTTGTCAAAAGAGGAAATGGAAGTAAGGGGTGTTATGTACTATTTGCGATTGAAACAGAAAATGCCACACAAACAAGGTCGTAAAGAGTCGGAACGATTTGCCGAAAAATAATTTTATCAGTCAGTTCCTGCAGTCTCCGAGCGGATACCTGATTTTGGAGTATCCATTCTTGTCACGACCAATACATTAGGCAATGTACCCCGCTCGTGATACATTACAGCACGTGATCAAAGCATGGTGGAAAGTGGCGTGACAGAAGGCGAGAAAAATATTACCAGCTTTCTTTTTCGTGAATAAACATAACAACACAAACACGAAGCCTCAAGCTAAAAAGCAACGACTTTTATCGTTATCCCACAAGAGAAACAGCAGCTAGTGGAGGAGAAAGATGCAGATAATATAAGGTAAGTACCGTACTTACTCGATTAACCGTCCTGGGCGCTTATTAAATTTTTGGACCTTGAGACTAGGCGCTTATCAAATTTTCAGCATTTTCAGCAAGTGAAGTATGCTTATTTTGCAGCAAAACAATAAATGCTAATAACAAAACGCGAAGAAGTAACAAAGCAAGGTTTCTGTAAAATACTCTGAGGAAAACTCCGTCTGCGGGGAAGTCTCTTATTAGAACTTATTCACTCAAGTGGGTGGGGTGGGGTTGAGCGTTTATTTGAGTTTGATTGGGAGGAGGAGTGGGGGTCGCTAATTCGAGGTTGGGCGCTTATTCTAGTAAATCTGGTACTTTGTAAATCATTCATTCAAAGGTTTTGAGAATTAAATTTGTGTTGTGATAAGTACCGAGTCGACTATTTTGGTTCGCTCCGGTTATTCTTTTGTTGCTGTTGAAGTGAAAGTCTAGAAATATAACAAAAGGGCCGTGAAACAGGCAAACGCACGTTCTTAAGATGGAAACTTAACCTAGACAAAGATAATCAGTTTCTGAGACTGTCAGTACTTGTATATACTTTGAGTGGATCAATAAAAAAAATATTGGGCTTTCATGTGATGTGAAGACTGAATCATGCAGATCCAGGAGGGTTTTAAACACCAAGGCCTCCAGCCTGAAAACTGCTTCGTTTTTTGGTAACTTTACTGCGCTTTTCACAAACATGCGAACTCTAAAGTTCAAAAGCCGCCTTCACAATTGCGTTTTTCGCTGCCGTCAATCATAATTACGATCACAAGCAACGAACCTTGAAACACAGAAACACACAAAACGGATCAAAATCCCCCAATCACAAATCACAAACCATGACCTTTTGAGCCCGTTAAAGTAAAGTTTTGTTTTCTAAGAGGTCCGTTAAGATGATTGACGGCAGCGAAAAGCCCAATCGTCAGTTGGCTTTTGAACTTCAGAATTCGCATGTTTGTGAAAAGAGCAGTAAGAAAAATTTGAGATAGTTCAAAGTGACGTTAAAATGGTGATTAAAGACTCTTATTATTCATTCAAAATATTTCCCCAATTCTGATTGGCTAAAAGCACACGCACAATTCACCATAACTAGTTACTGATGACCAAATTTGGAAGAATTTTGTGTTTAACGAGGAAATGACGTCAAAAATGCAGCGTTCTTGCAGGTTAATTAATGCACCGTTAACCGAGAAGACCTGCGGACGAGGTTGAGTTGTTTTGGTTGTGAAAACAAAAAATGGCGGACATTTCACTCGTTTCAAGAGTAAGAACTAGGCGACATTATAGCTAAAAATATGGCAAGAACAGCAAGAACACAAGTCGAAGGGCGACATCTGCTATTTGGAGAATATTTGCGGAGAAGAACGACCCTAAACGTGAATGAATAATGAATGAATAATAAAACAATTATTGAATTCGGCTTTCGTATCATGTGAAGAATTATGGAGATCTCGGAGGGTGTTATCCGCCTATGGCCTCGACGGATAACACCCTCCTCGATCTCCATAATTCTTTATAAGATACTCAGCCTCATTCATTAATTGTTAATTTCTGCAGCATCGTCGTGTTTCCAGGCTAGTCAATTTTAACTCAGTATAAAAGAATATGCCACTTAACTCTTCTAACCAACTGCTTTGTACAGGTTAGTTGGATAGGTACTTAATAATCGGGTACGTACGCTATTTAACAATTATTCTTCCAGCCCGAATGGGCTCTGAGTCAATAGCCCATGAGGCCGAAGGCCGAATGAGCTATTGACTCATAGGCCATAAGGGCGAGAGGAATAATTGTTTTAGTAAAACCCAACTAGTTGGTCAAAAATATCGAGAAAAAAAATTTAGTTAGTTAAAGCTAGACTTTAATCCTTTTTTGCCGCCAAAAACCCCGCGCTTTTCGCTACTAGTGGGCTATAACATATAGCCTAGTAGTAGCTCAACCAATCAGAACTCAGCATTGATGATAGACCACTAGTTGGATTTTACTAATATGGTTGATATAATATCTGCTTTTATGAGCGATAAAGAGTATATATGTATATCTATCTCGGATATCCGTTTTTGTTGCTTGTCTCTTTGCAGCTATTTTAATATAGCTTTTTACATCCCAGGTTTTGGTTGTAAAATTGCTGCGACTTTGATTGTTTTTTCAGGGTAAAACGTGGGAGGATAGTGAGCAGCTTATGTCAAATTATTTCAGAGAAATGAAAGCCTCCATATTAAACAAGTTAGTTTGCACTCTGGTCACGTGGCTTCATCACAAAAAGCAACCTTCATGGACGGAACAATACATTCGTGAGACGTTCATTAAACGCGACTGTTCCACCATTCTTACAGTCATATTTAGAGCACAGAATCCAACAGTGGAGGAGGAAGAAGTTT